ACCTCAGCACTATGCTCATGCGCAATTTTAAACAGTGAAATCATCAACAAAAAAGTACAAATATGTGAAAAACAAGGCACTATGAGGATGAAACATGAAAGCAGAGTATCAATTTGTTCAACCTCAGCTGGGGGTGTGCATCTCAAACAACTCAAATTTTTCACTGCTCTGTGCATGTCTGTGAATGACCATGAGAGCACTGAGAATACTGATTTTGGGGTTACTAATAAATTTTAGCAAGCAGGCAAAGCTGCAGATATAGAATCCATGAATAATGAGGATCAACTGTGTATTGATAAGTATATTAAATAGAAAGGGACTAAATATTCCAATTAAAAGGAAGAGATTGTCAGACTGGAAAAAGAAAAACCAAGACTCAACTATATCATGTCTACAAGGGATATACTTCGAATATAAAGACACAGTTTAAAAGTAAGAGAATGGAAAAAGATACACCATGCAAACACTAGTAATAAGGAAAACACAAATGACACAAGATGACACTCTAAAAATCTGGATGGCTATATATCTGCTAGATAAATTGAATTTGTTACCCTATCCGTCTGCAAAAAGAAAACATCACTCAGATGGTTTCACTGGTGAATTCTATCAAACATATGAAGAAGAAAAGAAAGGAGGAAACACTTCCCAATTCATTTTAGATGCTCTGCATAAACCTATTACCAAAACCTAAAAAAAATTACAAAAAAGCTACATTTCATGAAAACTACAAAAAAACTACTTATCATGAACATGGTTTATGAACGCAGATGAAAACATCCTTGGCAAACTAATGGAAAAATCAAAATCAGTAACTTAAAAAAGAGTAATCTATCATGACAAAGTGGGGTTTCTCTCAGGAATATAAAGATAGATTAACATTTGAAAGTCAATGTCATTTAACATAATAACAGATGCAACAAAACCATGTGACAAAAATCAACATCCATTCAGCTTTTTAAAAAACTCACAACACACTAGAAACAGAAAGAAATTTCCTCAATCATATAAATGTACAGCAAATAACATTTAATAACGAAATCCTGAGGATTTCCCCTCTACAACTGGCTATAAGGCAAGGAAGCCCATTCTCACCACTTCCACTCAACAAAATACAGAATGCCCTAGGCAGTGTAATATGGCAGGGAAAAGAAATACAAGGCATAAAAATTGGAAAAGAAGATGTTTCTTTTCACAGGCTACATAATTGCTAAGAAAGAAATTCCTAAGAAATCTAAGTCAATTCAGCAAGTTTACACGATGCAAGTACAACACACAAAATACAAATGTATTTCTATATACTAGCATCAAAAAGAAAATGAAACTCTAAAAACTTATCTTAATGTCATAAAGCAGAGTAATTTGAATAATTTTAACAAAAGACATGCATGTTCCATACACTGAAAACTATAAAACACAGCTGAGAGAAATTAAATATCTCAAGAATTGGAGACGTACATCTTCTTTGTAATTTGGAAGATTCAATAGGGTAAAGATATTGATTGTGCCCAAATCAGAATTCCATTCATATTCCTACTAGGTATTTTTACAGAAATTGGCCATTTGATTCTAAAATTTACATGGAAATGCAAAAGATCTAGCACAGCCAAAACAATCCTGAAAAAGAATGAAGTTGAAGGCCTTACATTATGTGACTTCAAGAGTCACAAAGCTACAGTAATCATCAAAGCATGGTCCTGGCCTAGGGGCAGACGTAGATCAGAAGAGAGTGTCCAGGAATAGACTCACACTTAATCAGTCAATTGATTTTCAAAAGAGGCACCAAAGCAATTCAAAAGAGAATGGAGGGGGCCGGCCCAGTGGCCGAGTGGTTGAGTTCATGTGCTCTGTTGAGGCAGCCCAGGGTTTCACGGGTTCGGATCCTGGGTGCAGACATGGCACCGCTCGTCAGGCCATGGTGAGGCGGCATCCCACATGCCACAACTAGAAGGACCAGCAACTAAGATATACAACTATGTACCAGGGGGATTGAGGGAGATAAAGCAGAAAAAAAAAGAGAGAGAATGGAAAGCCTTTTCAACAAATGGTGCTGGAGCAATTAGATATCCATATAGAAAAAAAGATGAACTTCAACTCCTATTTCACCATAAACAAAAAATAATTTGAGACAGATCATAGATCTAAACCTAAAATATAAAACTGCTAAAAATAAACATAGAATATCTTTGCACCATGAGTGTAAACAAGATGCAAAAGCATTTGACAAAATTCACCGTAAGGAGGGACACTAGAATGTCTCCCTGTGGTGTTGGATTAACATTGGCAGCATATGAAATCACAGTTTTTAATATACATACAGGTGTATACGTAGACGTATAAGCAAAAAATACAACATATGCTAGCTCTGTCCACTAAGAGGGCTTAGAAGTAAGACACACTAGTTGCAATAAGCACATCACGCCCCAGGTCTTGTTTCCCACTAAAAGGAACAAGGATCCTTGGAGAAAGTTGACTCGAGGGTTGAGCACACAAACGGAGCCCAGAGCATCCTGTTGCACCAGAAAGCAAGTAAGTGCGCAAAGAATTGTGGAGACATACAAAATGGACACAAGAGCCAGACTGAAAAGCTTCACGTGGACCAAATCTAGGACAATTTGAGTATCAAAATAATTAGAATAATGAATTCTAGGCCACTAAATAAGAATATATCTATGAATCATTCAAATAAAAAAATAAATGGGGGGGTGGAGGGAGGAAAGCTCTGCTCTACAGCAGAATGTCCATTAATAAATACAGAAGGAAATACAGAGTTGGAAAATCATCACTGGACGCTAAAACTAGCGGGTGAAAGTTTGATGAGGAACAGGATAGCTATATAATATCAATACTTATGAACTTCAAAGGGAAAAACTGTATCTTGGCAGTAGAGAAATCTGACAGATAGCAACTTAACCAAGTGCCCAAAGCAATCATCAATACTGGAACTATTATCAGGTGGCTCCTAATATGTTGCACTGAGAAAAACAAAAATCACTTTTGTGTTATCCCTGTCTAAAATGCATAACCTGAATGTAACCAAGAGGAAACTTCAGACAAGCACAACTTGAGGGACATTCTGTTATTCACCATCCCATTTTCCAGCAAGGTTGTTATGTCAGCCGTCTCACAGTGTTCGTTCAGGGAGCCGGACTTCTTAACTATCACTTATATCACAGCTCGTTTTATTAACTATACCAACTTGGTATTTTTACATCATCTAAACAGAGACAGCATGTGGCCACACCGTAAGGATAAGAGTTGGTGATCTCCACCCATTCCAAACGGTTGTGTCAGTTTTGGCACACGTTCACATAATTCTTGGCAAAGGCAATAAAAGTGATGCATACAAAGCAAAAAAAATTCTGTGTGATTCTGTATAAGTACCGCGCGCTAACCAACTGTGCCACTCGAGCTCCCTCAGTGTGATTCTGGACTGGATACGGAACAGGGGAAACAAAAGAGCAATAAAGGACAATATAGGGACAATGGTTGAAAAGGCACTGTGAAATGTGAATTAGATAACACTCTATCAATTATTAAATTTCTTGGCAAATAATTGTACTGTGATTATATAAGAAAATGCCCTGGTTCTTAGAAAATATACAACTTAGACTCAAATGAATCAGGAAAAAATGCATTTTTATATATATATACACATCGAGTGTGATAAAGCTAATGGGGTAAAATATAAACAATTGGTGAATCTTAGTAAAGGATATGTGGTAATTCTTTGTACTCCTCTTATACTTTTTCTGTTAAGTTTGAAATCGTATCAAAATAAAAAGTTACACATAAGGCAAAAGACATAATTGAAAAACTGGAAAAGTGTTTTTGACAAACATGACAGACAAAAGGTTACTTCCTTTCATATATAAAGAAACTATATAAAGGAGTCAGAAAAAAAGCAGTAACAACCCAAAAGATTAATGAGAAAAGGACATGAACAGCCAGTTTACAAAAGAAACTAACAAACTTTTAAAGGAAAAAGAAAAACAACAAAATGTCAACTTCACTAACAATTTAAACAGGCAAAGAAAGACAACAATGAGATGTTTTCCATCTGTTAAATTAGTTCTTTTCTTTTTTAAAAACACCCAAGGTTGGCAAGGGAGCCCTAAAATGGCCACTCACCACCCTGCTACTGGGAGTGTTCATTAGAACCTTCCAGTAAGAAAGGTTAGCCATACGATCAAAATGTCCATCTCACCCAGTGACTCTAATTCATGACACTATGCTTAAAAAAAAATCTAAACTGCGGATTAAAATGTATGCCCAAAGATATTCATTCATCAAAGAATATTTACAGCAGCAAAATTATTTAAAATAAGATATATGTCAAACAATATGGAAATGGTTAATTAGGATATAACCATAAAATGCAATATACAGTCACTACAAATTATTAAAAATGGGAAATGTTATGCAATAAATGTTAAGAGAATAAAACTTATAAAAATGGGCATTCAGGATGACCTTGACTAGGTAAAAGACAATTCTTAAAGCCCAGAATAAGAGTACTAATAACTAACATTGACTGTTTGAAAATTAATATAAACAAGGACTGCGAACACCCGTTCCAATTCTCCAGTTTATCTATGACATCCCTCCTGCCCACCTCGCACCACCTGCCTGGCCCAAGACAGAGCGACCACTCCTTACATGGTGGTACCATTCGCAGTTACCCGCCTGGCTCCCTCAGCACTCAGCATTTCTTGAGGGCATGGTACCGTCCCCAGCTGTACTCATTAAACATCTGCTGCTTATATTTATAAATTCTCCCACCTCATTTCATACACTTAAAAAAAATTACTGACTTTATCTAACTACTAAAGTCACCCCAAAAATGAAATCTAAATTGAACATAGAAGTTCATCAAGAAGCAGTTTTTCTTTTTTCTGCTTCTTCAAATAAAAACATTAAGGAGAAAACATCCCTGGAGCTTTCTTTCAAAACCCTAGACTCTCAAGGCAGGTTTCAGACAACACGAAAATGTCACATACCTGATTAGTATTGTATGCTAGGACCACCAACGTCATTGTCAGCACTTTCGTGTCAAAGAACATTTGTTTCTAAGTCTGATCATTAGCTGTCACCAAAAAACACACCCATCTATGTGCTGCAGCGCTCAGCCACTACCCAGTGCCACACCTGACTCCAGTCCTGCCCTACTCCCCACCGACTCCACCTTCCACTTGGCAACCTTCCACCTAACTAGCTTAGCAGAGCACAGGCAAGGGGAGGAGGCTGTGAGCAAGGCTGGCAACATGGAGAAACCAGATGGGAGGAGGATGATAACTATGGCAGAGCGCTGGCTCAGAAGCATCCGTAAGTTGGTGCTTCTAACTTATGGGGTGATTTTGCCACCCGGGGGACTTCTGGCAATGTCTTGGAGATATTTTTGGTTGCCATAACTGTGGGGGTGCCACTGGCATCTAGTGGGGAGAGGGGAGGGATGCTGCTAAGATTCCTACAATGTACAAGACAGCCCCCACAACACAGAATTATCCAGCCCCAATGTCAATAGTGCTAAGGTTCAGAAGCCCGCCATCCACTGATTTATCCACTCGTACAGCAAAGTCTAATCCCAACTCAGCAGAATCGGGACACCCAGTGGGTAAAGGAGACCTGAGGTAGTTTAGGAAATGTAAACACACACACGCATACAACCTCCTCAACCAGACGCTAAGGCAGGGTGAGAGCGCTCTCCCTTTGGTGACCAAAATTCCACCTCAGGAAGTGGGAAAAAGAGCACTGTAATTTAATAAAAGTAATACGAATATCTTTTTCCCCAAGAGCTTGCTCCCCACATTATCATATAGTTCTTCAAAGACTGCTTCACAGCAGGAACTGTAAGAAGATAATATTATCAAAATTGCCCAGACTGGTAAACATCTCCAGAGAAGCTGGCAATGTACCCACATAGTCAATGACAAACTTAGCTGCATATTTCAAAAGGACCTAAGAACCCAAACTCACAGTTCATAGCTCAGCTTAAAAGAAAAGTGGCAAGCATTCAAAGATAACACAAAACTAAGAAAATAATAGTGCTGCTTTTCCCAGATGAATCATCAAAAACCACACAACACTTAAGCGGAACAACATTTTCAAAACTGAGAGCAAATAGTACTTAAGTCTGTGCTCCAACCAAAAAAAAAAATTGCAGATAAAAAAGAATTTAGTATACGAATCGTCGTTAATATAATTCAATTAAAGTCCGTGACCACTGTGCCACACTACAATATGGCTTTTTTTGATTATTTTAACAACTTTATCATCCCATGATATCCACTCACGGGAGGCCAGAAAGTTAGAGAAGTCGCCCAGCACCATCCCTTGCTGAGGCGTTAATATCTTCAACCTGATTCTGAAGCATTATTTGCTGGTCTGACCTTGACCTTTGTCCCTTCAGTTAGGAAGTATCCAGCACTTAAGGCGGCCCATCTCAATGTTGGACAGTTGTAATGGTTGGAAGTGTGTCCATCATGCCGAATCAAGAGCGCCTCTCTTCTATCTACAGGTGTTAGTTTTGCCCTAGACCATAATCAAGTGAAACAAACACATTATTCGCAATGTATCAGCCCTCAATGTTTCTGTAAGATTCTCTTGCCCTCCGCATCCCAAGCCTCTTTCTTCTCCAGGTTGTAAAATGTGCTCTCCTCATGAACTGTTATAACTAGCTCAATTATGATTCAGTGGGAAACAAAAACCCAGAATGGAAGAACCAGAAAGAATCTTAGAGATCAGCCAGTTCAAACTCAACCCCAATTTTATAAAGGAGTAAAGAAGGCAGAGAGAAAAGGAACAAGGCTGCTCTAGCAGCCACTCAGGAACTCGGGCAACGGGACTCAAGTTTCCCAACTCACGTCTAATGTCCTCAGATCTACACCAACTCGTATAAGACGCTGTGTTAGTAGTAGAGCTGACATAACATTTTTTAAGTCTTATGATAAAATAGAAAAATATTTTCAGTTTTAACAAGTGAAAAAAACAAAAACCTCACACTGTCACAACCACTCTATGAAGTGTAATTGTTATCATCCTCACCAGGCCCAAGGCCACACAGTCAGCGTTGACGCTGGCTCCAGAGCCCATAACCTTAAGCACTAGGTACCTGGGTAAGTTCTAGAACATTCCTAATATTATCACAACTGAATTAACAATTTTAAGACTTATAGTAATGCTTTAAAATTCTAATGCTTTGATAGAATCTAATATAAAATCCTTCCTGAGGATACATTTAAATTATTTTTTTAACAAATCAAGATAAGTTTAAAGATTTACAGTATGTAGCCGCCTGGCATAAAATAAAAGCTCATTTTAACTTAAAAATCAAGTTACAGTATTAAAGTATCATCTTCTACATCAACCACTCTGAAGAAATTCACCTGAAAGCAATCAAATCTTTCTGGGAGTAACACAAGAGGAGCTCAGGTATGGCGTGGAGCTTTTAGAAAAACCCTGGTTAAGCAGAGCTTCACGCTCTCAATCATCTCCCAAAGGCTGTTCCACTTAAGATTATGTGCCATGAACAAAACAAGCAGTAAGCAAATTAAATATTTAATCGGCCTGATTCATACAAATGTGATAAAACATTAAGAAGTAACAAAGATGCGGGTTGAACACTTAAGTTTAGTTCCTCTTCCACCAAGATTCTATTAAAACGATAGTAAAAGGATTTTTAAAAAAGCAGCTGGGGCTGGCCAGGTAGGGTAGTGGTTAAGTTCACGTGCTCCACTTCGGATCCACACTGCTCATCAAGCCATGCTGTGGAGGCATCCCACATATAAAATAGAGGAAGACTAGCACAGATGTTAGCTCAGGGCCATCTTAATCAATCAATCAATCAAAATTGAGTCAGGAGGCCAAAAGCGGGAGCTCTCACGCAGTACCAGACAATTACAGACCCCCAACTGCAAGATATGTACATTGCACCCTCAACGAGAAATGGACTAGCCCAGCAACTCAGCCAATGAGAAACTGTCACTGCCCTGAACTCTCCCTTTCCATCAATGGACTTTTGTTCAAAACAACTCCTCCCAAAGTCCTCCTTTTCTCCATAAAATAGCATCACTCTCCTTTGCTTGCAGGAGTTACCTATGGCTTTTGCTATAGCTTGCTTGCCCCAAGTTGCAATTCCTCTGCTACTGCCGTACAAAAGCATTTTGCTGGTAAAGTAACTGGCTGTTTTATTCGTTTAGGACAACATTACAATAGAGAATCCGGTAAAAATTAAGAATTTGTATATGAAAAGTTATATAGGTGAAAAAATGAGGTAATTTAACTTTAAAAAGATACATAAGAAAGGAAATGTAGTCACAGGCTACTACTTGGCCCTGCTGTTGAACAAGTAAGTGGTCACTGACTAAATACTGACTACTGACTTCAAAAAAAATAATACTATAACCATAGGTGGAATGGAGAAAAGGTAAGTGAGGAGTTTAAGATGCCCAAATCCTCAAAAGAGGAAGGCAATGCAATAACATCTAAAGTGGATAAATAAGTAATAGTGGTAGAAGCATTAAGTTGAGAACCATGGGCATAACTAATGTAAGAAATAAATCAGAAGGTGCCGGCCCCGTGGCTGAGTGGTTAAGTTTGCACGCACCGCTTCGTTGGCCCAGGGTTTTGCCAGTTCGAATCCTGGGCACAGACATGGCACCACTCCTCAAGCCATGCTGAGGCAGCACCCCACATGCCACAACTAGAAGGACCCACAACTAAAAATACACCACTACGTACCAGTGGGCTTTGGGAGAAAAAGAAAAAATAAAATCTTTTAAAAAAATAAAAGAAAGAAAACAAATTACCTCTGTTTTTCATTATAAGCCTTTATGTTCATTATTTTTAAACAATATCCAAGTAGTATTTTGATAAAAACTTAATTTTAAAATACAGAAAATAAAGAGATTGGCAATAGATAATATGAGCAAGGGAATGGAAGAAAGGGTAGCTAAACATTATTAGGGGAAATGTGGACTGAAATAAGAACTGGGACAATTGCCACTACCCAATTTAAATCTCCTTTGACCAGACAATTCTGCTTTTAGGACCTATACTATACTAATTCTCCCACAAATTGTTCAGACATATACAAGAACGGTCACTGCAACACTGTTATAAAAGAGAAAACCAGAGTACACTAAATATCCATGAGTAGGAGAAGAGTTGATGAGTTATGAATACACTTTATTTCAGCCTTATAAAACCCAGAGTAGATAACCCAGGCAAACCTACCACATTTCTGACCTATAGAACTATGAGATAACAAATTTGTGCTGTTTTAAGCCTCTAAGTTTGTGGTAATTTGTTATAGAGCAATAGAAAAGAAATACTTGAAAAGGTGAAGAAACACATAACTCTATAACCCAGAAGCCATACTCCTAACTATATACCCAGAGAAAGTCTTGCCCACGTACACCAGGAGACACACACAAAATGTTCACATCACCACTGCTCCTAACAGAAAAAAAATGACAACCCAATCATTCCTCAAGAGTACAAAGGTCAAATTGTGGAATATTCATATAATGTAATCAATGGAGCAATGAAACATCAATGAACTCCAGCCACATATAAAAACATGGATGAGTCTCAAGTCTCACATTATGTGGGATAAAAAAATAAGTGACAAAAGTATATACCGTATGACTCTAGTCATTAAGAGTACACACTTTGAAACAACACAGCTTAGAGATGCAAATGTGGTAAAACTATAAAAAATAACAAGGAAATAATAAATACAAATCTTATGGTAGCAGTTATGTCTGTGGGGAGGTAAGAGGATGCGGTGAGAGAGGGGGACCAAGGGGCATCAAAAGTAATGAAAGGTTTTGCTCCTAACTGGTGGTAATTACAGAGTAATAGTATTTAAATTCTAAACATATTTTATATATTTATGTAATTATATATTATATAATTATAATGTTTACTCAGTATTCAAAAGATGAGGACATCTATCGGGCTGGCCCCATGGCCAAGTGGTTAAGTTTGCGCACTCTGCTTCAGCGGCCCAGGGTTTCCCTGGCTGGAATCCTGGGCGTGGACATGGCACCACTCACCAGGCCATGTTGCGGCAGTGTCCCACACAGCACAATGAGAGGCACAACTGGAATATACAACTGTGTACTGGGGGGCTTTGGGGAGGAAAAAAATAAAGAACAACAACAACAAAAAGATTGGCAACAGTTGTTAGCTCAGGTGCCAATCTTTAAAAAAAACAAAAAGATGAAGACATCTAGGAATAAAATCTTCTACATGACCAAGAAAAACCAAAAATAACCTTTCTTTTCTTTTGTCAAGACATGTTCATTGAAAAAAATAATTCAAATAACAAATAAAAGTCCAATCATTTTTTTAAATCACCTAAAATCTCACCACCTAGACATAATAACAATTTGCTGGATGTCCTTGTAGACACTTCTTGTGCAGGCGTGTATACATCCATTTACATATTTCACATAAAATTATTCTATGTACACACATATACTTATTCTATAAATGCTATTTAGACCATTGCTTTTTTAAATCAACTGTATTGAGATACAATTTACATAAAATAAAATGAACTCATTTTATTTATAATGTATTTATTATATTTATTTATAGTGTAATTTTGGAAAGTTTTGATAAAGTGTATGTAGTGTAACCACTATCCAATCAAAACTCAGAGAGGGGCCGGTCCTGTGGCCAAGTGGTTAAGTTCACACACTCTGCTTTGGTGGTCCAGGGTTTCACTGGTTCGGATCCTG